TGAGAATTTGTAGAATGAGGCTGAAGTGACGTGAGAATTTGTAGAATGAGGCTGAAGTACGTGAGAATTGTAGTGAGAATTGAGAATTGTTGATAGGCTGAAGTGACATGAGAATTTTTTGAATGAGTGCATGAGGCTGAAGTGACGTGAGAATTTGTAGAATGATGAAGTGAGTGAGAAGAATGAGGCTAGAATGAGGCTGTAGAATGAAGTGACTAGAATCTGACGTGAGAATTTGTAGAATGGAGGGACAATGAGGAGTGAGAGAATTTGTAGATTGAGGACAGGCGACAGAATGACTGAGTGAGTGTAGAATGAGGCTCAAGTGACAGAATGAGGAAGTGACGTGAGATTTGTAGTGAAAGTTTTGTAGAATGAGGCTCAAGTGACGTGAGAATTTGTAGAATGAGGCTCAGTGCGTGAGAATTTGTAGAATGACAAGTGACGTGAGAATTTGTAGAATGAGGCTGAAGTGACGTGAGAATTTGTAGAATGAGGCTGAAGTGACGTGAGAGTGAGAACTGCAGAGAAAAGGAGGGGTGGTGGGAGAAGAGGGAGACATGAAAAAATGAAAGGAAGGAGAGATAGGATAGAGAGAAGGAAAGAGACATAAGGGGAAGATCGTGAGAGACGCGACATGAGAAAGGAAAGAGAGGATGGCATGAAAATGAGAAAACGAGCGGTTAAGAGACACGAAGAGGCGGAGAAGGGAAGGGAAGAGATGAAAATAGAGAGAAGCATAGGGACGAAGAGGCGGAGAAGGGAAGGGTAGAGGTGAAAATAGAGAGAAGCATATGGAAAAGACATGAGAATAGAGAAGAAAGAGATGAAGATGACGTAACTATAAGGAGAGGGGAAGAAGGGAAAAGAAGAACCATGAGGAGAGGAAGAGATGGAGTGAAGAGACATGAGGAAGACGAGGAGAGGGAAGAAAGGGGTGCAAGGGCCATGAGAGAGAGAGGGGGGGGGGCAAGGAGAGGGAAGGACCGCTACACAGCCCGGAAATAGCCTCATCAAAGCCGGGTCGCTGAAGAGGGCGGCCGATGCAGGTCCCTGGCCGAGCGAGAGAGGTCCCCGCTTCAGAGGTCCTCGCTTCCCCATTGCACTCGGGTCTTTGTCGAGAGAGAGAAGTGAAAAGCGAGAGAACGAGAGAGAGAGGTGAAAAGCGAGAGAGCGAGAGAGCAGAGAGAGAAAGGGGTGAAAAGCGAGAGAGTGAGAGAGCAGAGAGAGAGAGAGACACAGCGAGAGAGGTCCCCGCTTCAGCACCTGATGTTTTTAGCCTCCATTGCACTCGGGTCTTTGTCGGCGATGAGGTGAAAAGACGACCGACGCGGAATTCTTAATGCCGTGGGTCGTTCGTAGGGACCGCCTCGAACTGTAGAATTGCAATCGGCTGCAGTCGTTCATTAACTTATTCATTCATTTATTCATTCATTCATTTATCTATTCAATGGGTGGCCATTATGTTTGACACCAGGATTTCGGGCTAACTTGCGAGTGGATCGGTATGAAAATTTATGGCTGTGTTGGTTTTGGCTTTTGGAATAGATGGGGAGTAGACGCTGGTGTGAAATAAAGAGAATGAATGATAAATAGAGAGGGTTAGAGTCAGGAAGGGCATCCGGCTGTAAAAACCTATGCCAAAACCAATATGGAATCCGTAATAGAGCGGTCCATCTATAACGGCGACCCCATATAGAAAAGAGAGAAAGCTTAGAAAAAGAAAAATGAGAATAATTGTATGTCTGAAAAAGAAAAATGAGAATAATTGTATGTCTGGCAAGATAAAGAACCGAATTCTTGGTCTAATTGAAGATTAAGATAGCTTATGTGTATCTCTCAAGTTAGATGCTGTGAATATGAAGTTATAGAAGAGTAGGTTTGTGATAAAGATTGGCAGAGTGCAAAATACTGATCATGGATGATGGTGACTACACATGGATTCATGCCAAGGGACTTACTCTCATGACTTAGGATACATGTACACCTTTCTCCTCGTGTTTACCAAAATGTTTCGCATTAAAAGACGAAGGAGAATCAGAACTAATGGCTAATGTCTGATATCAGTGACTGCCTTTCTAGAGTGTTTTTGGTTAAATGGCAGTGATGGCGATTGTAACCGGAAGAGCATTCAGTACTATCATCACCCTATTAGTCATAATAAACTCTTTTCTCATTTTCTCTCTATCTATCTCTCTATCTATCTATATAATTTTCTATCTATTTCTTTATTCTCTCTTCTCCTCTCTTCTCTGCTTTCTCTTCTCTATCTCTTCTCTCTCTCTCTCTTCTCTTCTCTCTTCTTCTTCTCTTCTCTCTCTCTTCTCTCTTCTCATCTCTCCCTCTCTCCTTCTCTTCTCTTCGTTTCCTCCTCTCCCCTCTTCTCTTCCTCCTCCCTCCTCTTCCTTCCCAGCCT